TGCACTAATTTGCAGTCCCACCAGCAGTGTAAAAGTGTTCCTGTCTCTCCACATCCTCACCAACATTTGTTGTTTTGTGTTTTTTTAATAGAGGCCTTGATATTCCTTCTTCCCAGTATACTATACTGCTCCTTCTAAATCTTCTTCTCAGGCTTTTCTTCCTTCTTTCATCAGGACCCCTTCCCTAAGAACCCATACTTGCCCACCCCCTTTTTACCTACTGTCTCTCCCTTGGCAATATGATGTAAAATCTTGACTTCTGCTACCACTTCTACATGGAAAATTTTCAAAGTTTTCTTCCTCAGCTCCAATAGATCATTTTTAATTGTCTACCTGACATCTCTATTTGGCTGTCTCACAGTCACCTTCAACTAACCATACCAGCTTTTCACTCTATGTCCCCTATTTCTATTAATGATATCACCAGTGTTCTAATCACTAAACTTAAAATTTAACATCATATTTTACTTTTCCCTCTCCTTTGCCACTCCACACCTAATCAGTTGTCATTGTTTGATGCTTCTTCCATCATACAACTTCTCTCATAGAGCTGAGAGTTAGTTGTCCTTCTTGTAACTCTTTTAGCTTTTGATCTGTACCTCTCTTTATATCTTTTATCAATTAGTCAGTCTATTCAATACATTAAAGTTATTTAGGTTTATATATTAGCTCTTCTAAAGGACCATAAAGTCCTTGAGGGAGGAGACAGTGTCTTACGTGTTTTTGCTTGTAGTAGTGCTTAGGACAGTACCTTAGGACAGTGCTTAGTAAATTCTCAATAAATGTGTGCTGAATGAATGACTTATGCCTGTGAGATCTTGTAAATTCTGTGTTTGGTTCTTTGGTATAGATTTTAGCCTTAAGTTTAAGAAAAAAACTAAGAGTATAAGATAAATTACATTAAAAGTGCTAGTGCATATGTGCAGTAGGTTCCTCCATTGGCCTAGGTTGCATAATATAAGTAGTCACATCCCTTGAATAAATTATATGCTAAAAAATGACAGAATAGAGAAATAGAGAGGAGGAAAATGTTGCAACAAAGGTATACCAACCAATTATGTATTTTAAAAAATACATATTAGTTTAAAAGTAAGTTCATCTATATAGATACTTGTGTATCTATGTATTTATACCTCCCACCTCATTCCAAAAGGATTTGGAATGACTTGTGAGAATAAATAAGATGCAGTGGGATAGAAAAAGAAATGTGTCAGTGAAAGTATAAATATAATGGAGCTATAACACCAGAAGGAAAAGAAAGTACACAGAAATGTAGGCCACAGGATTCTACATCATTATTAAATTGGTTAAAAAAAACTTGATTGTGAGCTTCCTGGAAATCATAGGAAAAAAAGAAAAATTGATTTGTTGCAAAATTCTCATTATGTATGAGAAAAAGCTTTATAAATTCTTGATACTCACTTTGTATTGTAGGAAAATATCATATATATTATTTTCCAATGATAAAGAATAATCTGTTACAAATGTTATTATTCAATCACTGTGCTCATAAAATGACAACCCAAAGCAACTACATGGTTTCTAATTAGTTGGGGATAGAAGAATTATTTGCATGATGGTTTAACAGTTTAAAAAGCACTTTATCCCCTATTTAATTTTATTTGATACCTCCAGAAACTTTATAAAATAGATACTAAATTGCCTACACTTTACAGTTGAGGAAACTGAAGTTCAGAGAAGTTAAGCAATTTACTTAACTCACAACTAGGAAGTGGGAGCTCTACTTTTGGTTCCAAATTCCATTCTTTTTTCATTACAATACTTTGTGGTCTAAGTTCATTCATGTAAAAAGTTAAATTAGTTCTTTATTTCAAGAATGGAACTGTTATGAGTAAAGAAGTCTTCATTTTAGAAGTGTGATTGTTGTATAGTACATTCAATTCAGTGACAACATTT